AAATGACTAGCCACTTACTGTCTTTTATTTGTGTTTTATCTTATACCAAGTTATTTTAGATGTTTTTACTGGGAAATCCATTCTAGTTGTTTAGCCTACAATGTGGGAATTCAGAGCACTGTGATTTTTTTAAGTCAATTTTCCCTCCAGTGTCGTTTCCTGGATTACCTTTTATTGTTTCTGAGTTCTTTCTTTCCAGTTGCCATTCTTTAATAACTCGCTCTTCCAATAAAGACGTTGTATCCTCTTTCTGCTTGGGTGGCTGCTGCCTGTAACCTATACCTTGGAGGCTAGTGGAGCAGAAAATGAACACAAAGTAAATCTAAATGCTCACAGAACAGCTCACAGGGCTCACTCTCCAGAGACTGACAAGAACACCCCGTCCATAGTTTATTTATGGTCCTTTCTAATGTTTTCGCCGCTAAAATCAGTGAAATGAAGTACTAAATTTAGAATCACACCCGGAATTCTCTAGTTCATGAATCATTGGCACCAAAGTAAAAACAGAATTTTGAGCCAAGAGAAAGTGCCAGCTAAAAATGGAATCAGAAAAGTTAATGGAGCTGGAGAAGCACTTCCCCCTCCTCTCTGCTCGCACCCTTTTGTCTCCTTGCTGGCACCGGGAAGCCAGGCCCCTGCCAAGTAGGTCTCTATTCTTCCCAGAATTAAAACTCGGGCTGGAGATATCGAGACTTCTCTCACAGTGGGTGGATCCTCACTTTCCACTTGCCTTTCCTTTACTAGAATTATACTCTTTAGGCATTCCATATTTACTTTATCTTCTGTGTGAGACAGAAAACAATAGCAGCCCCTGTACTGGGACTGTGCTGGGTATAGTGAAGGTGATACATTTCTAAAGTTTTGGCCTCCCAAGCATCTTAGTAGTCACAAAATGACTTTTAATTAAGTCTAAGCCCTCAATATGACTCCTTACTCCCCTTCCAAGGATTGGAGTGGTGAAAACCCCCATCTTCAAGATATGTTTTAAACACAAAACCTACCATGCTTTCTAGCTCTGCTCTTAATTTAGATTTATGCTTGTGCAGTATCTAAGACTGTTGGGATATGCAAACACATTCATCTATTCAAATATATACATGTATATGTACCTGTGTATAGGCATGTACATTTGTATGCCATAGCCAATACTCTTATAGGAACTTTAAAATTTGTAGAGGAATTTTAATCCAGCAACATGACTTCTCTGACAAGCGATGATATCCAAAGACCTGTGTGATCTGGCTGGAATGCAGACACGCCACACACCTTTAATCTCTTTGGCTGGAATACAGATATGCCTTTAGTGCACTCCTTTAAGGAAAAATTAGTAAAAGGGAGCAGGCATGTTTGAAAGTGTTTTCTAATTGTGGGTCAAAGTGACAAGTCAAAGATTTGACAGCATGAGTAAGAGATAAGATACGCCCAACTCTCATGAGAACATTTCAGGAAAGAGAAGCTATTGAATAGCAGCTCGGGGAGAGAGGGTCGGTGAATTAGGAATTAGTTCTGTCAGTGCACTTTCTGCAGTGAAGTTGAATTCAGGCAATGCATTGGAGTTCAGTTGAGTTCTGAGCAGTTCAACTGAATGCAGTTGAAATCAGTCCAGAGGCAGTTTTTCCAAGCAGAGCAATTCAGTCAGAAGTCAAGAGGAGCCCATTTAAATTAGTCAGCTTGGAGAGGAGTTTGATCTAGAAACTGCTGATTTGAACCAGCCAGCTAAAGTTCAGAAAGAGCTAGAAAGGATGAGCTTATTCAGCAGTTAAGTATCACAGGATGAAACATTCTAGGCCTAGGCTAGCAGACGGAGGCTGGAAGGTAACATGGAGGATAGAAGCTTCCAGGGTTAGGCCTACTGATAGTTAGAACAGAGAAAGAAATGCTCTGGGCTTAGTCCAAGCCATGTATTTGTAAGCTTGTGTATGGCTCCCATCTCGTTGCTTCCTCTAAGGAAATAAAAGCTACTTCTACACAAACTGTCAGAAATATAATTGTATACTGTCACTAAATCATTAACAATAAAACAAACATTGTTCTGTGTGTAGATGTTTTGAGCTTTGAATAAGTCTAGTTTGCATTGAGATTGGTGTTTCTTCCTAGGTAGCAGTAGGCGGTGTGGATCTGTATTAATAAACTCAAATGCTATTATCCATCTAAAGGGATTTGGATGAAATAAGCTGTCTTTTATCACCTAGACACAGAAAGAAACACAGATTTTAGGCAGGAACTCTTAAATAAAATCACAACTACATCAGTCTTAGGACAGTATGCATATTTCCAAACCAAGAAATTCAGCAATCAGGTTGAATAAGTGGGTTCTTCTTACTTATGTGGCAGATAATTATACTCGTAAGTAGAAAACAAAAACTCTTGCTATCCACAGAAAGAAACAGAATGTTCTTGCCATCCTAGGGAAGTTCTGATTGCAAAGCTTACTTAGATTAAAGTAAATTCTGAACAAACATCCTTTGACTTTCTAGATGACATCAGGTGTAAGCATAGGTTGCTTATTAATGAACTGAGAAATGAAAAATAGAACTGTTCTTTGTTCAAATTTGCATAAAACCTAAATCAACTTATATACTTAAAGTATTCTACAGTAAAATTATAAGGAATTTTTTTAAAAAATCCATGTTTCCATTAAAATAAAGGGGCACAGTAAGGGTTGATATTTTTAAACAAGTAGTTGCCACAAAGCTTTATGGAGATTATCATTGACATTTTATTTTAGAAATTCTATATGCTACACATAATAAAGTAGAAGTTTCTAAATGTGTATATAAATCACAATTCACAAAATTAGCCACTGAGTAGTGGATAATCATATCAAATTTAATTTCACTGAACAGGTTATTATGTAAAGTTCTTATCCTTAATCTTTATAATGTTCAATTTATTTTTTACTACATCAAGACCAGATAAATAGCAATTTTTTTGAACTTTAAAAAATATTTTATTCAGCAATCATACAATTTTGAATTATGACACATAGTGAAAAAACAAGCAAGTTTTCCATCATTTTCAAATTTCTTCTTTTTTTGTTGTTTTTTTTTGTTTGTTTGTTTTTTTGGTTTTTGGCAAGAAAAAGATACCAGAAGGTTTTTATTTTTGACCATCTCTTTGGGGTAAGGCTCTTTCCTGGGCTGTTTTACCCATGCTAGAAAGATGAAATATATGCTGTCTGAGACTATTTGGAGGTTTTAGTTCAGTGACAGAATGCTTGCCTAACATGCATTCCGCCCTGTGGTTCATTTCCAACATGGCAGAAAAGAAACAGAACTCTCCTAGACTTAGTTCCCATTTTGGTGGCAGGTACACAAGTTAATTATATTATTATTATTATTGTCATTATATTTGGGTTTTTGAAGCAGGATTTCTGTTTTAGCCCTGGCTATCATGGAACTCACTCTATAGACCAGGATGGTCTCAAACTCACAGATCTGCCTGAGCCTCCTGAGTGCTGTGATTAAAGATATGCACCACCACATTTGCCTTTTTTCTTTTACAATTACATCTCATGTGAACATTAATACATACATTCCATGGAATACATGTGGAAGTCAGATGACAATATGCTGGGTGCTGGATTGAGTTTTCTATCACTATGTCGATCTGTGAGATTAAACTCAGGGTGCTAAGACTTGTTGGCAGGGGTTCTCAACTTCAAGGCCTGCATGAGTAGCTTAGTGAGACTTTTCTTGAAAATACAGACAGACAGACAGACAGACAGACAGACAGACACACACACACACACGAAAATAAAAACTAGGGATATAGCTCAAGAATAGAACAGTTGGCAAGTATTTACCAGGCCCTGGGTTCAAATTCTAGAATGGAGAACAGAAAAGACCTTGCCTATTTTCCTGCTATATTTTATTTATTGTTTTTAAGTTTTGTTTTTTGTTTTTCGAGACAGAGTTTTCCTGCGTAGCCCTGGCTGTCCTGGAACTCACTCTGTAGATCAGGCTGGCCTCGAACTCAGAAATCCACCTGCCTCGGCCTCCCAAGTGCTGGGATTAAAGGCGTGTGCCACCACCACCCGGCTTATTTATTGTTTTTGTTTTGTATTTTTTTTTTCCTTTGGGACAGAGTCTTACATACTCAAGGAAGGCCCTGAACTATTAGTTCAAGATGACCAAACTCTTTATTTTTTGAGACAAGGTTTCCCTGTGTAGCCCTGGCTGTTCCAGAGCTTGCTCTGTAGATCAGACTGGCCGTGAACTCAGATCTGCTTGTCTCTGCCTCCCTGGTGCTGAGATTGAAGGTGTTTGCCACCATGTCCAGTTTGGATGACTGAACTCTTGATTTCCTGCTAATACCTCCCAACTGTCGGAAATACAGGTGTGTGTAACCTACCTAGCTAGACTTTTAATTACTAGAATTCTTTGTGCTTTTTGAGACAGGGCCCACTGTGTAGTTATGGCTGTCCTTGAATGAGAGATCTGCATGGGTCCCTAACTTTTAGTATTGGGACTGAAGTTGTGTGCCACTGTCTTCAGCCCCAGTTCAGTGGATTATACAATCTGTTTCTAACATTATAGTAAAAATATTTGTAATATGTAATTTCTCTCTCTTACATACACACAAACACACCCACACACACCAAAAAATATATCTTCTTAGAACTGTAGATTCAACACCCCAAATGAAAACCAGGTTGAACTGAGCTTGGATTTCCTGATAGCCTACTGCTAACCCTAAGGAAGAAGTAATGCCCCTTGCATTCACATGTCCAAGTATCTGATCCAGGCTGGAATACAAACTCAGAATAGTCCCAAGTCAATATGGGAATAGAAACCTAAGATTTCTCAGGAATAGTTTTAAGTGGGAATCCTCTAGTCCTACCAGGTTAGTGCGTCTCTGTGGGTTTCTCAGTACGAGTCCAAACCTCTTACAAAGCACCTTCCAACACAAGTCATGGCTGCAAGTCTGAAAAGCTCTGTACAAGAACTATGTCAATAATGGTTCAAGAAAATTGAGGACCAGATCCCCTTGTGTCCCACAGTTGGAATACGTAGCTGAAGCCTAGGTGGTTTTCCTCTTCTTGGCAGATGGTCGCTCAAATACATCTCGCACCCCTGCTGCCTTTTGGTTAAAGAATTTTGTGTTCTGGGCACTCTCTTGGCCCCACGCAGAGTCAAAGGAGGTGGTATCTTGATCCACAAGGTGGGTGTACTTGGTGCGACCAGACCGTCCAAAATTCTTGACCTGCATGACTTTGGGAAGAATGGTTTTGTTGAAATGGTCCTCAAGAGTAGGTGCACTGAAATCTCTCTTGTAGACTTCTTCATCCTCATCCATGAAGAAGGCACCTCGGTGATAATACTTTTGTAGAAACTTGTATTTGCCTTTAACACCTTTGTTGGTAATGACTTTGCCATTTGCCTGAAGTTCAGCCAGCCTTTCTTCCTCAGTCAGGTTTCTCATGCGTTCAATTTCTGCTTTCTCCTTTTCAAGCGCTTCTCGGTCTTCTCTCTCCCGCTTGATCCTCTTGAGCTCACGGACTTTCCAGGCCTCGTACTCCTCCTCATCATTTTCATCATCAGTATTGAGCGCATCCAGGGAGGCAAGGGAGCGCTTGTTCTCCTCCAGCTCTTTCTTGGTCTCTTCTTCTACAATCTTGAGTGTGTACTTTGTGTGTGCTTTGCTTCCTGTTCCAGTTCCTTCTGTTTCAATGCTTCAGCTTCTCTCTCTTGAACTGTCACCCGATCCTTCTTTCGAATGAAGACAGGCTTAAGTCGAGGCTCCATTTCATCTTCACTGTCTGTGTACTCCTCATATTCAGACTCTGACTCAGACTCTTCCCCAGAGCGTCCTTCATCTTCCACCTCCATGACTTCCATCTCTTCATTTTTTCTCTCCTATGCTCGCTGACGCATCACGCCACGGCGCCGCTCAATTTCTTCCTCCTCTTCCTCGCTGCTGTCTTCCCGCTCCACTCGCCAAGCATCTCCTTCTACTTCTGAGTCACTCTCTCCCACTACTTCAGGTTTCACGATTTTTCTGTGTCGAGACAATCTCTCTTCCACATCTTCACTAATGCGGTTCTGTAAACGCCGAAGTCGGGGGTCACTGGATGAATCCTCCTCCTGTTCCTCAGGCTCTGCTTCTTGTTCCTTAGCTTTCTTAATGAACTGAAATTCTTCATCCTCTTCATCTGAGGACTCCATAGGGGCATAATCTGGTCTCTTTCCGGACACATAACGTTTTACCTTCACCTTTTCCATTGAAATCTCACCTTTCTCGTTGTGAACTGGGACGGCCCCAGCCGTAGACTGAATGGGCGGCTGCTTCATGAGTGCGCTTGGGACCGACATGGTGACGGCTGCTGTGGAGACTCTCCAAAATGGACTTAATCCCAACGAAGAGGACGAACAGAGCACACCTTCCCACCGAGCGTTTCCCTTCACTGTTCCATTTTAAAATTTCTAGCATGCTATTCTTTGATCTTCAGGGACAATATTGCTGTACTCAGAGGTCTTCCCAGGGTTTTCAAAATCATGGTATTCTAATCATGCTTCTAGCAAGAGTCACAGTGTACAGTTCAAGTAGCTAAAATTCTTGGTTAAAGAATAAAGTTCACTAAGTGCTGTAACTCTTAAAAAGTACTACATTCTCTAGAAATATCCAGAGAAAACATCTGAAATACATGTCTTCCTTTAAAGTAACAGTCCTTCATGGAATCCTATGTGGACACTATCCATTTAAGGACTCACTTTGCATTCAAAGTGTGTGAAACCTTGGGAGAGCTTTCAATATTCTTACACAGAGTGCATTACATATGCAAAGTGATTAGTAAGTATTTTGTCATTTTAATGATCGCTTCATATTTGCATCCTTATTTTTTTTTAATTTCTATTGGATGTTTTATTTACATTTCCTATGTTGTCCTTTTACCCCATTCCCCACCCACCCAGGAACCCCATATCCCATCAGCCCTCCTCCTTCTTCTCTGTGGATGTAACCTCTATCTACACCCCCCACACTCCCACCTCCCCACCCTCAAAATTCCCACCCCCTGGGGCATCCAGCCTTCATGAGGTCAAGGTTCTCTTCTTCCACCTATGCCCAGCAGGGCCCTCCACTCTTACGTATTCAGCTAAAGCCCTGGATCCCTCCCTAAGTGCTCCCAGGCTGGTGGTTTAGACCCTGGGAGCTGTGGTTGGTTGGTATTGTTGCTCTCCTCATAGTGCCACAAATCCTTTCAGCTCTCCTTCAGTCTTCACTCTAACTCCTCTATTGAGAACCACATGATCAGTTCAATGGCTAGTTGTGAGCATCTGCCTCTCAGTATGTCAGACTCTTGAAGACCTCTGAGGAGATATCCATATCAGGCTCTTATCAGCATGCACTTACTGACTTCCACATCAGCATCTACCTTTGGTGATTGCACATGGGATAGATACTCAGGTGGAGTGGTCTTGAAATGGCCCCTCCTTCAGTTTCTGTCCCTCACTTTGTCTCCATATTTGCTCCCTTGAGTATTTTGTTGCTCCTTCTAAGAAGGACCGAATCACCCCCGCTTGGTCTTCCTTCTCTATGGGCTTCATGTGGCCTGTGAGTTGCATCTTGGGCATTTCAAAGTTCTGGGCTAATAACCAATAATCAGTGAGTGAATACCATGTGTGTTCTTTTGTGATTGGCTTACCTCACTCAGGATGATAATTTCTAGTTCCATCGATTTACCTAGAAACCTCTCGAATTCATTGTTTTTAATAGCTGAGTAATACTTCATTTTTTGAATCCATTCCTCAGTTGAAGGACATCTGGGTTCTTTCCAGCTCCTGGCTATTATAAACAAAGCTGCTATGAACATAGTTGAGCATATGTCCTTGTTATATGTTCCAGCATCTTCTTGTTATATGCCTAGGAGTGGTATAGCTGGATCCTCGGGTAATGCTATGTCCAATTTTCTGAGGAACCACCAGACTGATTTCCAAAGTGGTTGCACCATCTTGCAGTCCCACCAACAATGGAGGAGTGTTCCTCTTTCTCCACACCCTCGCCAGCATCTACTATCACCTGAGTTTTTAATCTTAGCCATTCTGACTGGTGTGAGATGGAATCTCAGGGTTGTTTTGATTTGCATTTCCCTGACGACTAAGGATGCTGAACATTTCTTTAGGTGCTTCTTGGCCATTCGAGTTTCTTCCGTTGAAAATTCTTTGTTAAGCTCTATACCCCATTTTTTAATAGGGTAATTTGGTTGTCTGGAGTCTTATTTCTTGAGTTCTTTGTATATATTGGATATTAGCCCTCTATCAGATGAAGGATTGGTAAAGATCTTTTCCCAATTTGTTGGTTGTCATTTTGTCCTATTGACAGTGTCCTTTGCCTTACAGAAACTTTGCAATTTTATGAAGTCCCATTTGTCAATTCTTGATCTTAGAGCATATGCCATTGGAGTTCTGTTCAGGAACTTTTCCCCTGTGCCCAAGTATTCGAGGGTCTTCCCCACCTTCTCTTCTATTAGTTTCAGTGTATCTGGTTTTATGTGGAGGTCCTTTATCCACTTAGACTTGAGCTTTGTACAAGGGGATAAGAATGGATCAATTTTCATTCTTCTACATGTTGTCCTCCAGTTGAACCAGCACCATTTGTTGAAAATGCTGTCCTTTTTCCACTGGACAGTTTTAGCTCCTTTGTCAAAGATCAAGTGACCATAGGAGTGTGGGTTCATTTCTGGGTCTTCAATTCTATTCCATTGATCTTCCTGCCTGTCTCTGTACCAATACCAGGTAGTTTTTTATCATTATTGCTTTGTAGTACAGCTTGAGGTCAGGGATGGTGATTCCCCCCAAAGTTCTTTTATTGTTGAAAATAGTTTTCGCTATCCTGGGTTTTTTGTTATTCCATATGAATTTGAGAATTTCCTTTTCTAACTCTGTGAAGAATTGAGTTGGGATTTTAATGGGGATTGCATTGAATCTGTAGATTGCTTTTGGCAAGATGGCCATTTTTATTATATTAATCCTGCCAATCCATGAGCATGGGAGATCTTTCCATCTTCTGAGATCTTCTTCAATTTCTTTCTTCAGAGACTTGAAGTTCTTGTCATACAGGTCTTTCACTTGCTTGGTTAGCTTCACACCAAGGTATTTCATATTATTTGCAACTATTGTGAAGGGTGTCATTTCCCTAATTTCTTTTTCAGTCTGTTTATCTTTCATGTAGAGGAAGGCTACTGATTTGTTTGAATTGATTTTATAACCAGCCACTTTGCTGAAGTTGTTTATCAGGTTTAGGAGTTCTCTGGTGGAAGTTTGGGGGTCACTTAAGTATACTATCATATCATCTGCAAATAGCGATAATTTGACTTCTTCCTTTCCTATTTGTATCCCTTTGACTTCTTTTTGTTGTCTAATTCCTCTGGCTAGGACTTCCAGTACTATATTGAATAGGTAGGGGGAGAGTGGGCAGCCTTGCCTAGTCCCTGATCTTAGTGGGATTGCTTCAAGTTTCTCTCCATTTAGCTTGATGTTGGCTACTGGTTTACTGTAAATTGCTTTTACTATGTTTAGGTAGGGGCCTTGAATTCCTGATCTTTCCAAGACTTTTATCATGAAGGGATGTTGAATTTTGTCAAATGCTTTCTCAGCATCTAGTGAGATGATCATGTGGTTTTTTTCTTTAAGTTTGTTCATATAGTGGATTACATTCATGGATTTCCGAATATTGAACCATCCCTGCATTCCTGGGATAAAACCTACTTGATCATGATGGATGATTGTTTTGATGTGGTCTTGGATTCGGTTTGCTAGAATTTTATTGAGTATTTTTGCATCGATGTTCATAAGGGAGATTGGTCTGAACTTCTCTTTCTTTGTCGGGTCTTTGTGGGGTTTGGGTATGAGTGTAATTGTAGCTTCATACAACATATTGGGTAGTGTTCCTTCTGTTTCAATTTTGTCGAATAGTTTGAAGAGAATTGGTATTAGGTCTTCCTTGAAGGTCTGATAGAATTCAGCACTAAAACCATCTGGTCCTGGGCTTTTTTTAGTGGGGAGACTTTTAATGACTGCTGCTATTTCCTGAGGGGTTATGGGACTATTTAGATGGTTTATCTGCTCCTGGTTTAACTTTGGTACCTGGTATCTGTCTAGGAAGTTGTCCATTTCATCCATGTTTTCCAGTTTTGTTGAGTATAGGCCTTTGTAGTAGGAGCTGAAGATTTTTTGAATTTCCTCAGTTTCTGTTGTTATGTCTCCCTTTTCAGTTCTGATTTTATTAATTTGGATACTGTCTCTGTGCCCTCTGGTTAATCTGGCTAACGGCTTATCTATCTTGTTGATTTTCTCAAAGAACCAGCTCCTGGTTTTATTGATATTTTCTATTGTTCTTTCTGTTTCTATTTGGTTGATTTCAGCCCTGAGTTTGATTATTTCCTGCCTTCTACTCCTCCTGGGTGTATTTGCTTCTTTTTGTTCTAGAGCTTTTAGTTGTGCAGTCAAGTTGTTAGTGTGTGCTCTCTCCAGTTTCTTTTTGTAGGCACTTAGAGCCATGAGTTTTCCTCTTAGCACTGCCTTCATGGAGTCCCACAAGTTTTGGTATGATGTGTCCTCATTTTCATTGAATTCTAAAAAGTCTTTTATTTCTTTCTTTATTTCTTCCTTGACCAAGTCATCATTGAGTAGAGAGTTGTTCAGTTTCCATGTGCATGTGGGTTTTCCATTGGTTTTGTCATTATTAAAGATCAGTGTTAGTCCGTGGTGATGTGATAAGATGCAAGGGATTATTTCAATCTTTTTGCATCTGTAGAGGGTTGTTTTGTGACCAATTATATGATCTATTTTGGAGAAGGTACCATGAGGTGCTGAGAAAAAGGTATATTCTTTTGTTTTAGGATGAAATGTTCTATAGATGTCTGTTAAGTCCATTTGGTTCATAACTTCTGTTAATATCAAAGTGTCTCAGTTTAGTTTCTGTTTCCATGATCTGTCTATTGCTGAGAGTGGGGTGTTGAAATCCCCCACTATTATTTTGTGTAGTGTAATGTGTGTTTTGAGCTTTAGTAAAGTTTCTTTTATGTATGTAGGTGCCCTTGCATTTGGAGCATAGATGTTCAGAATTGAGAGTTCACCTTGGTAGATTTTTCCTTTGATGAGTATGAAGTGTCCTTCCTTATCTTTTTTGATTAATTTTGGATGATATTCGATTTTATTTGATATTAGAATGGCTACTCCAGCTTGTTTCTTGGGACCATTGGCTTGGAAAATTGTTTTCCACCCTTTTATTCTGAGGTAGTGTCTGTCTTTGTCACTGAGGTGCATTTCTTTTATGCAGCAAAATTCTGGGTCCTGTTTGTGTATCCAGTCTGATAGTCTGCGTCTTTTAATTGGGGAATTGAGACCAT